GGCCTATTTCACCTATTCAAATGTCTACCTTAGCCTATTTGACTATAATTTATTACCTCTGGGCTCTTTGTGCAATGTACCTGTGGGTTTTTAGGTCTGCAGAATTTGTACAGAACAAAATCTCTTTTGAGCAAGGTAGAGAAAGTGGGGGGGGAGAGAACAGTGGGTTTTTGCAGTAAGATGCTTCAATTAACCCTTCTAAAGCCTTGTTTTGCTTCACAACTAATCAGATTTGATAGGCTATTCAGGGACCACTGTTACAAGCATCTTGCTGTTGCTCTGTCTTGCACTATATAACCAACATCAGCATTCTGTATAGCCTTTCACTTGTACTGAAACAAGTAGTTATAGTAAAAACTTAAACCACTGTCTGAATCTGAAATACCTGTAATGCTTAAGAAATCAGTCACTCCTTTTCACTGTTTTTCAGTGTAAAATGAATGTAACATAGGCAACAAAAATAAATCTCTTTAAAGTTGGGGTTTTTTTTGGTATTTTTGTAGTTTTCAGAGTGAATACTGCATCCTCAGTTGTGTGTACTTAGGCTACACAATGTGTATTAGCAGGCAAAATGGAAGTTGCAAGATCAGGTCTGTTCTCTGAAAATCATAGATGTACTAAATTGATTATGGTTGATAACTTGAGGCATTTTGGTTTCATCTGACCCATAATATTTCTCATTTGTCTGCAGTTGGGAGTTACTTCAGATAATTCATGTGGTCTGTAATCTAGGCACACTTGCAACCCAAAATGAAGGATATAGCAACAAAAGACCAATTCTTCTTGACAAATAGTTAAATTGGCTTGAGTTATCACTGAGAAAGCTGTTTCAGGTACCATTACCAATAGGATGCTTCTAATTTGACCAGAAGAAAAGGAATGTAGATATAAACTTCAGAGAAAACACCACTGGAAGTGTTATAAGTTACTAGCGATGCCTGAGATAAATTAAAGAGGCCAATTTATAATAACAAATTATTTATTAGCAAGCAATAGATAAGCAAAACCAATGCATCGGGGCGGCCACAGGAACAAAAGCTCCTCAGATGGCGCGCGCGCAAACCCCCAGAGCTTCCTTTTGTATATCCCGGTTTCCGCATACGTAGTCCTGGGTTGTGTTTTCTGTGCATGTGTAGTTCAGTGGGTCGGAGGTCTTATTCGCGGGGCTGGGGTCTCTACGATGAAAGCTCGAAGTCTTCTGTGTTCGCGAGATGACCCCGCGTTTGGGTCATGCGCAGTAAAAGGTATTTTCCTCCCTTCCCTGTTTTATCAACACCCGTTTATCATCTTTGACTCTTTGTTATTTCCAGAAAAGCAGGTCTGTACCTCTGGCTCCCAACAAGATTAGGCTTATCGCTGAGTTATGCTAGCTATGCGAACAAAGTGTAGTTAATTTATTACAATCTTCACACTCCCAGGGGCTGCCAGGTGCTTTCCAGGATCATCTCCCGGCGGCTGGGCTGTGGGAACCCTCCGCAGCGCCGGGCCCGGGGCTTCCATTCTGCGCCCGGGTTTCCGGAGCCCATCGACCCCGAACAACGCGGCCCCCGCCAAGCACCTTCCCCGGGCACATCGACCCGGGCTGACCGGAGCCACATGCAGCCGGGGCTGCCCCCCACCGCTGTCCGCACAGCCCTGGGGACATGAGGCAGCGGCGGAACTCGCTCAGGGAAACCCCAGTGCTCCCAGCCACAACCCCCCTCACAGCCCAGCTGCGGGGAGCAGTGGAGCGGGGAGGCACAGCCGGCACCGCGGCAGCACAAGGGAACCCCAAACGAGCCCCCCTGAAACGCTCCCAGGTGGGAAAACAACCATGAGCCCCAATGAACGCCGTGACCCCGACACAAAGGCGCCTGGCAGCCGAGCAGGGAACCACACGGGAATTGCATATCAGTGTCCCGCCTCGCAAACCTCGGAAGCCCCACCAAGCCACCCCAAAGGCACAGCCCAACAAAAGTCCCCCTAAAATGTAGGCAGGAGGGTGGCAGCTAGTTTATCACAGAAGGAACATCAAAATAAAATTATAATTAAAAAATACCCCAACTTCCCAGCAGCTTCTCATGAGTCACTCTTGGTAGTAAATTTTTTTCCTCATTTGTTGATGAGACTCCCTTTGGTATTGCTTGCCTGCACCAAATCACACTTCTCTGTGTTCTCCTTGTTGTCTGGCAGTACAGGTAAATTGTCATTCAGGTTTAAGTGGTGACATGCCAGGTGGACTGTCTTGGTCACTTCTGTGTTGTCCCTTCAACCTTTCCAGCTTGTCATCTTTGTGCCAGTTGTTTCTGTCTTAATTTTTGTCTCGTCACTTCTCTATTTCTCCATCTTTGTTGTTTTGGTTGTTGCTCTAATCTTGGGCTCTGCTATGCTGTGTTCCTCTGACTGGCTAGTTTTAAGAATGTTGCCCTGTTGCCTCAATATGTTGCCCTGTTGCCCTTCATACAGGCAAGAAGGGAAGAGGTTGCTTCGGTTGCTTGCTGACATTAAAGTTGCTTATAACTTTAGGCACTTGTAACCCTGATCTTCTCTTCAGAGGATTAGCCAGAACTAAGAATGAGGGAATGAGGCTGAGGTCTGCATTTATAGAAGAGACCTTATAGGTAGCTGTAAGAAAACCTTGTAGTACCATGCAACTAACTTCTTTCTCTAGCCCAGAAAAGATGTTTTATGTTCTTTGTCAATTTAAAACATGCAGTAAAGCATCAGACCAAAATTTGTTCCCCTATGTGCCATTCCCACAGATGCTCTTCAGTATCTTGTTCTGGAGTCTGGAGAACAAAGGCAACAGTGATAGTGCTGTAGTCGTCCATTAGCTGGAGTAAGGCTTTGGGACCAAATCCTTTAAATTTCTAAAAGAGCAATAACAAAGGTAAACAAACCTTTACTGCACAGTGTAACGGCTTTGACTAAAGCAAATATAGTTCAGGCCCAGAAGCATAGTAGCATAGATAATTTCATGTTTTTGAAGAATGGCTGTTGGGCATTTTAGTATATGAGCTGGAGGGCCTCAGTAACAAAGGGCAACTCTTATTCTTTGGCATATTGTGATGGTTCAGACCTGGTTCCCTGCCAAATGCTCGAACTCACAGTAACAACCCCTTTCCCCTCCCTTCTTCCCTTAGGGCAAAGAAAAAAAACTATAAAAATTGAAGAACCCAAAACCAATCGAATTATATCAAAATATATATTTTTACATATATTACAGATATATACAATTAAAATACTATGTACACAGTGAAAGGACCCCAAACACCTCCCAAAGGAAAAGGGAAAGGGGAAAAAGGGACAAAAAGGGACAAAACCAGAACAGATATGCACAATCAAACCCAAGAACTAGCAAAATAAAGAACTAGCAAAACAAATCTCACCACGTCCCTCAGAAAAAACAAGATCGCCAGACATGGCCAGCACTCTCCAACTTCCTGCGTGGCAGACCAGCGGTCGCTGCAGGCCTCAACCTCAAGATAAGCGAGATCAATGCAAGGACCCACTGCTCCTGAACCTCACCGGAAGAGAAGAGAGAGAGGTCTCTAATCTCCATCTTATTTATACCCTGGTTTATGTAAAAATCGTATGGAATACTGAGTACATGACCACTTCCTTGGTTACGAGCTGATTACCAAGAAGACCTAGATTAAAACTATCACACACACATATAATGCCACAAGGAGGATTTAAAAAAAATCAGTTATTCGAAGAATTATGTTGTGGTGTCTTAAGAAAGATTTTGTAATGTTCTTCTAATCTAGTAAAAAACCCAAATATGTTATTGAACACACCATGAGCATCCCGGAGGAGGGTTTTAGCTAACAGCTAATTAGGCAGCTAATTCTATCTTAAAAACAGCTCTTTCTCAGGACAGACTGGCTCTGTGTTAAAAGCTGGCTAGGTGCTTCTGTGTTTAACATCTTGGCCATATAGGATGTGCATCCAAATTTTAAGTTGTTAGTAAAATTCTGTGGGCAGTGAATGAGGCCTCTTGTTAGCATTGTTTTGTTGTGTGTATTGAAAAATATCTTCCTAATGGTCCCATTTATTGTATACCTGTATTGTGCATTACCCAGTGTGTCTAGATAAGTGCCACGCTGGCTGATTGCGTACCCAGTATGATAGGATCCCTTTTTAGAGCAGCAGGGATTAAACTGGAGAGGATCAGTGTGGTATTTCTAGTAGGAAGGGCTAGTCTTAATGCCAGGGGAGGCAGGGTGTGCTCCATGGGGCTGGGACAGAGATGCCTCTGAGCACTGTGATCTGGAACTCTCTGCCTTCCTGATCTGCTTCTTGACTCTGTTTTTCCTTTCTTCTTCATTTTGCCATTTAGATTGTCAGACCCTGGGCTAAGTTATTTGTCTGCTTAGTCAGTTCTCAGAGCTATAAAATAAGTTTGCTTATCTATCTTGGGAACACAATAAACAGCAGGTGTCTGCAACATGTCCCATAATCTAGAGATAAGATGGTGTAGAACTGCATAGACTTATGCTGTTTTAAAATGTTTTTCAGGTTCTAAATGGCTTCTAAGAAGTTGGGATCTGAGTCTCATGGTAAGTGAAATTTGACATCCCTGTCTCTTCAATAGGATGAATCCTACTATTGCTGCTGACTAATGTCGTAGCCTAGACAGTCCATAGAAACTAATCTGTTTAGCCTCTGAGTAGTTTTTTTGTTAGAAATTAAGTGCCTTGGCTTCCTTCTTGCATAGGTGCTTGCTGATGCTGTGCCTGTTCTCTGGTTAAGCTGAAATTCAACCTATGACTGTTTCCTACTCCTTCATGGCAGAATAATACCTTCCGCTTCCCCCATATACTCCTTCAAAATCAAAGCTGAACTGCAGTTGTGATACTGATTTGATGTTTACCGAAGTGGACACTAGATCTAATTCCTTTCTATGGAAGTCATTTGAACAGCTGGATTGAAAGTGAAACTTTTAATATATCATAGAACTATGCTTGCTTTTTGCTTAGCAGTGAATTTTTTTTCCTAAATTGGACTAATCTGGTTCATCAGGCAAGTGAAGAAGAGAATATCATCTTCTACATTTGAGATGCATAGTGTCATGCAGATGTTTGGTATGAGTAAAAATTATTTGCCTGTGTATGTGCTTAAGGAATAATGTTTCTGTGGAACATTAAAGTTCAGTTAGTTGTATGTAATGTATCTCCTTCAAATCAGTAATCATTCAATGCAGTACTGAGAGGTTCACGTGGAATTTCTAACATAATTTTTCATACTATAGAAACTTCTGCTCTTAGAAACTCAGCCTTGATCTTGCTGACTAGTAAAGACACTGCTCAGAACTACAATTCAACCTGTCCTAAATATTTCTCCAAACAGTATAGTGTGGTAGAACATGCTTCTGGCTTCAAAATAACAAAATCCAAACACATGGTGCTGTAAGCTGGCTGCTTAACTTGTCTACTCTTTTGTGTACCCTCTGTTCCTAATGACACTGTCACTGTATTGTTTCTGAGGAGTAGTGGAACAGCTTCTGTCTTAAGAAATCAGCAGGGCAATTTTTTTCAGTTTTCTTCAGGGTTGTTAAGAAATAATTCCACCAAGTGAATTTTAGCTTGCTGTAAAGCATCTAGTCCAACAGCTACCTTCAGCTCAGTGTCTCTGGCAGTCTGAAATCAGTCAACATAGTTGATGCATCTTTTGTACTTATTGTTGAGCTGCTTATTGGAGGTTAGAGGACTGTTGTTGAATCACAGAATGGTTGAGGTTGGAAGAGACCTCTGGAGATGGTCATGTCCAAAGCCCCTGCTCAAGCAGAACCACCTAGAGCAGATTGCTCAGGACTGTGGTCAGATGGAAATGAAGATGGGAATATGAGGTATGGATGGAGCGGAAGGAACACTTCTGTTTTGGAGGGTATTCTTAGCATGCACCTATAACTATGCCTAAGCATGTAACTTCAAATGCTCTCATCATTAGAATAATTGGAAGTTCAAGCTTAAATTCCAGTAATTAGTACCATCTAGAAATGCAGCTCTCATCTGTTGCACAAAAAGTGTGGGTTATACCAAGTGCAGTATGTTAATATTGCTGTTGTATTCTCACTGTCTCTATACAACTTGAAAGCTTTTAACTCCAGTTTCTGATAATTATGTGTGTTTTGTGGGACCACAAAACCTAAGTTCTACTTGGTTTCAAAACTGTTCCCCATTTATAACTAGTAACTTGTTTTATCTGAAATGGTTCCATTTTTCTACCAAATTGGAGGACACTTCTATGAGTTGGCCAGCATATTATACTCAAGTGGAGAGAAATCTTACTCCCATAGTAGAAACTTGGACCAGGAATATCATATAGTACATGGTGTCAGAGATCAGACTGACGGGTACAGTTTTGCCAGGGCTATTCTCAGAACTTCCTCAATATGCTTTTAACTGCTAGAGGGATGAAGTGGCTAAGAGCGATATTAAATAACAGTTAAAAAACCCTTTAATTCCTTCACTTGAACATGTGACTATTTAACAGTGGCTTGCATAATACTTTCTATGCATAAGTTTTGCTCATTGCTTTAGAATTTGTCATTTAAAACAATTTGCACCCTTACCTATCAGTGTGTTCAAGCAGAAGCGTCATCTGTTTACAAAAATAAAAGGATTCTTGGCTTTCTGGATCGGATTTTAACTTCACTAGACTAGTACTGTTCTGATTGGGCTGGAACAAAGTGAATACTATGTGCATCAATGTTTTGCTTCAGAAAGACTTTTTACTATCAAATGCCCTAAAACACTTGGTGTGTTTCTTAATGTGTACTTGTGGGTTTTGTAGCAAAGTTGTATTCAAGATGAGGTTATAGCAGTAGTCATTATTAAAAAAATAAGCATACTGGGAAGAAACTAGGTGGGGTTTGCTATTTGTTTTTTGTTTTTTTTTTTTCCTGTACCAAAACAAAGAGTGTTGCTATGTAAATACCACAGTGTGTGTTTGTACCCTCTGTGGCTAGTATCTATTTCAGGCAAACAAGAAGTCTGTGCAAGAGGAGGTGTCTACCACTTAGTGTGTCAGTAGGTCTAATAAGACAAGTATTTGCAACACTAAGCAATTTGGGCTGTCAGATTGGTGCACAGAGGTAGTCCTGCTTCACTTGAATCAACCTGCTTAGAGCAGAACTTTTGCCAGTGGGACTAAGCAGGACATAGTAGCAGCAGTCACACCAGACTGAGCAGTCAATAGATCTGGTTGTCTCTGACCTGGCTATGATTTACCACTCTCAGTGCAAAGGTTGCCACAGTTTCTATTTCTACATAAGCAAATGCTTTGGCATATCCAGGTTCTCAAATTGCCAGTTCAAATACAATTTGGATTCCGTGTTGCAAATAGAGATTTTGGTGACCAGTGAGGCGCCATCTGGGTGCTGTGCTGTGCAGTGCTTGAATATGTTCTTCTCAGTAAGGATCAGTGAAAATACTATTATATTCTCCCTGGAGCACTTTTTCATTCTGATAGTGCAGGTAGGATGTAGGTTATTTGGCTTGATGGTTTCGAAGCTAGAGGAAATACCACTTTTGTCCAACAGGACTCTGGGACCAGCCAGTGTGGTGCATAGTATGAGAGTTCAAGTGATGATAGCACATAACGACAGGACCTGGAGGTCCTGGTCGATGGCAAGTTGAATGTGAGTCATCAGTGCCCTGGCAGCCAGAAGGTCCAACTGTGTCCTCGGGTGCATCGGGCAAAGCATCGCCAGCTAGTCAAAGGGAGGGGATTGTCCTGTTCTGCTCTGCACTGGTGCGGCCTCACCTCAAGTCCTGGGGCAGTTTTGAACTCCACAATATAAGAAAGATATAAAACTATTAGAGAGCGTCCAGAGGAGGGCAATGAAGATGGGGAAGGGCCTTGAGGGGAAGCCATGTCAGGAGCAGCTGAGGTTACTTGGTCTGTTCAGCCTGGAGGAGACTGAGGGGAGACCTCATTGCAGTTACAACTTCCTTGTGAGGGGAAGAGGGGGCAGGCACTGATCTCTTCTCTGTGGTGACCAGGGACAGGACCTAAGGGAATAGCCTGAAGTTGTGTCAGGGGAGGTTTAGGTTGGATATTAGGAAAACGTTCTTCACCCAGAGGGTGGTTGGGCAGTGGAACAGGCTCCCCAGGGCAGTAGTCACAGCCCCAAGCCTGGCAGAGTTCAAGAAGCATTTGGACAATGCTCTCAGGCACATGGTGTGCCTCTTGGGGATGGTCCTGTGCAGGGCCAGGATTTGTACTCAATGATTCTTGTGGGTCTCTTCCAACTCAGGATATTCTATGAACTTCAGATTATCAGGATGTTCCTGTTTTTGAAAGCTGCTCATCCTTTTGGAGCCTGTGACTGTCTTGTAGATGAGTCAATAGTGAAGGAACACAGTACCTAAACTGTCATATGAGTATGAAAATGAGTCAGATAAAAATGGCAAGTCACAGCTCACTGAGCAAGAGGTTAGACACTGAACACCATCTTAATGTTACCACTCATGTCTCTTTAGATCTGCATCACTCAAAACAAAGTTACAAATGAGTGCTAGAGGAATGCTTCTGATTGTTACACACAGCCGGAAACCTTGCTTGTAATTCCGAAAGCTTAGACCAGTGATCCAAGAAACTGAGTGCAATTTATATTGTATGTTTTCTAATACTTCTTCATGGCAGCTCAAGGAAAGCCAACCTATAGTCTGGCTACTTGGAGATGGTTGAGCTCTAAGTGATTCTGTCTCATGAGTTTGCAGGATGCCGGAAGAAAGAGTTTCATCCTAAAATACTTTTTAAATACCACATGTGAGTGATAGATATAAAGAACAGATGGAGGACCATGAAATAAGTCTGAGGCTTCTCATTGGAGTGATCACAAATCAGACAGATGATTGTTAGATTGCCTTGTTTCAAAAATCAGAATTGCTATGCTAAATAGTCTTGAGTTATTTCAATGTTTTGGTTCAAGTGGAGTGTCTACACTTTGGGCCACTTTGCCCTTGTGACCACTTCTGTACAAATGTGACTTCCTACTTGTATGCCAAAACTTGGATTTTAGTTTAGCTTAGCTGCTCTAAAGCTGGGGTTAAAGCCTGTTTTGAATATAACAAAAAAGATAGATTTTTCTAGAGACATAATGGAATACAGTGTTCAGGAGAGCTTCGGTTTCCAATTCTGTGGGAATAGTCTTGTCACAAGGGAAGCTAAAACATTGGGTATATTGACTTGAAAACCTGTTCAGTTGTTGGATTGTTGTGTGTTTGGGTTTTCTTTAGTAGTTATGAGCTAGAACATTACAAACAAACCAAAACAAAAACCTACCACCAAAAAACCAAAACTCAGGCAATGAAGTATAAACAGATTCAACTTCCTTTGTATTGAGTCACCTGGTATAGTTTGGCCAGCAGAGATAAATAGCTCCCAAATACAGAAATGTGAGTCTTAATTGAATGCATTAAACTTGTAAGTTTTTTTTATACAATTTCTGCTTTTGATCTTAGGTCCTTTCAGTTATCTTGATGATGTCCCATTTAAGATAGGAGACAAATTCAAAACCCCAGCAGAGGTTGGATTACCCATTGGTTTCAGCCTGCCTGATTCTTCTAAGCTTGTCAGAGAAGCCCAGGTAAGTGATGTGGTTTGCCTTTCTGCTCTCTTCCCCCTGGCCCCCAACATGTGGTGCTATAAACTGCAAGTAGTCACAGTTTGCACACATATTCAATGTTATTCTTGATGGTCTCATAGTGTCATTTTGTATGCCAGGCAGTAGTTGCAGTTAGAATGTATAGAAAGATAAAAATATGATAGGCTGTGCAAAAAGCTTCTACTTTTTAAAACACTTAATAACATTTATTTTACTGTATCTACTTCAAAAAAGCAGAGCATTTTTGTTGTGGTAGTTATAGGTCTAAATATTACCCTGACTAAATTTGAGTAGCATTTTTAAGAGGAAAAATGCTAAGAACTGATATACCCATGCTATGGCATGCTTGCAGAATCTTGTTTGAGGGTAACAAGTGTTTCTATGACCATATTTTGTGTTCTCACAATAGTGGGAGGAAGAAATAAATTTTTCTTGCTTTCTGTGCAGTTCTGAGTGGGAATTCTTTTCCAGCTGTAGGGCAAACAGGTTACAATTTGGTACATGGATGGTTTCTAGGTCTTTGAGGAGCATGTCTCTGTTATAATAAACTCATAGTAGTATAAAATCAATTGCTTTAGCGTATATGTTGAAAATCGAATCTCCAAATGCAGGTTGTGATACAAGAAGTCTAATTGAACTATTTTCTTGTTTGGATCAATGATTTTCCTTGGTCAGTCCAAAGTGATGATTGTTTTAATTTCAGTTGTGACAAATGCTTCCTTTTTTATCTTTTTTTTTTTTTTCTGCCCTGCAACTCATTCACTGGAGAGCTATCTCAGTTACCCCACATCATGGCTTTTTCATTATAACCATTAAATGATTACCTGATTGTCCTAATACACATATTTTCATTCAGTTAAGGTGGTGTGGGAGAGCTAAAGGAGACTAATGTCCTAGTGCTGGCTTCATTGTGCTTTCTCTATTTTCCTGCCAAGCTGACACTCAAGTATAGTATGCCAAATTGGACTGCAGCACCCTGCATAATAGGATGTGACTACATAGAGTATGCATCTTGCAGTGAAATTTGACTTTTTTTACAGCTGTAGTGAGAACTGTTAAAAAAAATAAAGTGCAGGGAAGCAAAATTGCCCAAAGCCATTTTTATATAAATACCCTCCTTTTTTAATATAAAAAAAGTATTTGGTCAGTTTTGGTCTGTGTATATAACTATATACACACACGCACACACACACAAAAACCCCCTGATAGCTCTGCTCAGACAGCAAAGAATGTGTAATGAGTAGTGCTCAGCACTTCTGCCAGTGATTTGTTTTTCAAAATTGCCTTGCTGATAAATTGAGTATCACATTTCTTGAAGTCTTAGAGCTAAGGGAATGGAAAACTTTTATGCAGCTGAGACAACAGGTCTCCAGGATCCCACTGGAGCCTGCTATAAGATAGGAACACATAGTGAGTCCCAGAAAAGCTTAGTAGAGGCCTAGCAAGCCTTGCTGGTTTGTTGCTCTTTAGAGATAGGAATTTGTATGACTTAGCGGTCCCATGGTAAGAGCACTCCTGTTTGGTTATGTGCCATTATCCCGGCAAGGGTATTTTATGACTTCTTGTGAATCACAGGTAGGTAATGCCCTGGACTTAGGTTGTAGCCTGTGTTCTCTGAACATTTTGTGGTTATTTAAAGAGCATTTGAGGCTGTTCATTCTTATTAAGATATTAAAGCTTTAAATAGATTTTGTCTGTTCAGAATTTTGTCCTCTCAACCAGGCTACTACTGTGACCAGTAAACTGGTAGTGAGTAGCTTACAAATGGCTTCCTGTGCTAACCTGTCCCTGAAGGAGCTGATGTTAAATGAGAAAAGCTTGTGAGATCCTGTCATGCCAGTAACTGCAGCAAATTTTGCTACTGCAGGTAGTTGCCATCATCACTGTAGCCAGTATAACCCCTTTGGCTGGTGAGCCACCGGCACTGGAGTAAGAATACCAATACCTCTTTAACTAGTGGGTATAAAACTATAATATCAAGTCCCTTAGAAATATTTTAGGGGGAACTGAGTAATATTGTATTGTTCTTTGGATGCAAAAATACTCTGCTGTAGTCTTGAATGACTTGTGGAACTTGTGGACAGGAGGTAGTTCAGTGGTGCCAAATCTGGGTATGATTGTCTATCTAGTAGACTTGCCCTTGCTATATCTGCAGTCTTGGGGGGAGAAGGTGGGAGGGCTGTGAAACTGATCTTGGAATGATCAGTAGCTCTACAGCAAAACTAAATGTAGGAAGGAGGCAAAATATGATATTCTAATCCAGACTATAGACAGGTTTTGGTGCTAGAGACTAAAGGAACTCCTTCTGAGGTCTTTTATGTTTTGCCAGTCTGTAAACCTACAGACAAGATATGCTGGGAAAAATTGATGCCTGTCCATGGTGTAGTGGGTTGAGCCTGGCCAGATGCCAGGTACCCACTAAAGCCGCTCTCTCACTCTCCCTCTGCAACTCGACAGAAGAGAGAGAAAAAAACCAGCTAAGGATTCATGAGTAAAGAGCTGGGAGAGCTCAGTTACTGATTACCTTCACTGGCAAAACAGACTGAAAGTGGGGATAGTACTTATATTTATTACTGACAGGATCAGAGCAAAAGAGTGAGAAATAGTCTTAAAAACACCTTCCCCCCCACCCCTCCTTCCTTCCATGTTTTCTGTCCTCACCCCCAGCAGTGCAGGGGGACAGGAATGGGAGTTATGGTCAGTTGTTGTTTCTGCCGCTGCTCAGGGAGAGGAGTTGGAATCCTTCCCTGCTCCCATGGGATCCCTTCCACGGGAGACAGTCCTTGATGGACCTCTCCAGTGTGAGCCCATCCCTCAGGCAGCAGCTCTTCCCAAACTGCTGTCCCATGGATCACTCCTCCGTGGAGTCAGTCCTTCACGGATGAGCTGTACTGGTGTGGGTCCCCCACAGGGGCCACAGGTCCTACCCAGGAAAAACCTGCTCCAGTGTGGGCTTGCCTCTCCACAGGCTGCAGGTCTCCAGCAGGACCCTGCTCCATCTTGGGCCTCCCACAGGGTCATAGCCTCCTTCCTGCATCCACCTGCTCCAGCACGGGAGCCTCCATGGGCTGCAGGTGGGTCTCTGCACCCCAATGGTTCTCCATGGGCTGTAGGGGCACAGCTGCTTCACCATGGTCTTCATCACGGGCTGCAGGGGCCACAGCTCTGGCACCTGGAGCACCTCCTCCCCCTCCTTCTGCACTGACCTTGGTGTCTACATTGTTGTTCTCATGTTCTCACTCTGCTCTTCCCTGTCTGGAATTCCTTCTGCATCTCATCCTTCTGTTCGTAAATGTTATCCCAGAGGTATTACTGTCACTCCTGATTGGCTTGGCCTTGGCCAGCAGCAGGGAGTCTGTCCTGGAGCCATCTGGCATTGGCTCCACGGGACAGGGGGAGCTTCTTGCAGCTTCTAAGAGAAACCACCCCTGTAGCCCCCCCTTGCCAAAACCCAGCCACAGAAACCCACTACACATGGTAATTCATGTAGCTCTTATTCTGTGTTACTTATGTTGCTGTTAGAAGTAGTGGCTATGATCCTTATAATTTATCTTTTTTCTCCTTTCCTTTCCCCTTCACCCCTGGCCAGTATGACTTCTCACTGGAAAGGAAAACAATCAAATGGGCTGAAGATATAAAAAAAATTGAAACTGCACAGAGAGAAGCTGAACACAAGGCAGAAGAAGTGCTAGCAAACTCAAAAGCGGTTCCAGAGGACATCACCAAATTGGGGTTCTCAGAGGGACCTTGCCCTAAAGTCATGCCTCCTCCTATTAACCCCATCCTTGCTAGCCTGCAGCACAATAATATTCTTACTCCCACACCAGCCAACAGCAGTGCTGTGAAGCAAAAGGTTCTCAGTCCACCTCATCCAAAAGCAGACTTCAACCCAGCTGATTTTGAATGTGAAGAAGACCCTTTTGACAAACTGGAATTAAAAACTATCAATGATAAGGAGGAATTAAAAAATATTCTTGAAATTCACGTTGGTACTACTGGGCCAATTGTTGCCCAGCTATTAGATAATACTTTGCCCAAAGGAGAGTCCGTGTTGCAAGATGAGAAAGTCCTGACATCCATAGAAAGGGCTACGCTGGACTTCAAACCCCTTCACAAACCCAATGGCTTTATCACTTTACCGCAGTTGGGAAACTGTGAAAAGATGTCCTTGTCTACCAAAGTGTCCCTGTCCCCTATCACTTCAGTGAGCAACATCAAATCCCTGTCCTTTCCTAAACTTGACTCTGATGAGAGTGATCAAAAATCATCAAAGCTCATGAGCACTTTCCACAACACTACCTGTCTCTGCAACGGTGCTTTGCTCAGTTCTTTGCAGACCTGCACTGAGAGTAAAGCCAATGAACTGAATGGACACCATCTGGTTGGTCTTTCTGCTCTAAAGGAGGACAGTGGCATGGAGACATCAACATTATCCTCTTCATCCAGGCTGCCTTCCCTGGCTGCATCAACAGTTTGTACAGAAGAACCATCTCAAAGCACAGCAACTATGGTAAACATGCAGTGGATTAGAATTGGGGTTGCTGGGGAGATATGGAGGTGCAGAGGCAGATGTTGCTTCTAAAATGTCCTGTGGTTTTAGGTTCATTTAATGTGGGAGAGTGTCGTGGTTTTGACCCTGGTCAGATTTCAAATTCCCACCAAAAGCTACTACAGCACTGAAATCACCCTCCCTCTGACGCTTGGCAGAGGAGAGGAAAGAAAAATAGCTGAGAAATTCTTTAGTAGAGATAAGAACTGGGAGACTCTTACTAACTAATTTTCATGGGCAAAACAGATTCAAAGGGGATAGAATTTAAATTTATTGCTAACAAGATAAAACTAAGAGAGTGAGAAATAAACCAGTCTTAAATAAACACCTTCCCCCCCTCCTCTTTCTTCCAAGTTCTTCTTCCTCCCCCCAGCAGTGCAGGGGGACGGGGAAGAGGGTTCAGTTGTTGTTTGAGTCCATCCTTCGGCAGCAGCTCTTCCCAATCTGCTCTCCTGTGGGTTACTCCTCTATGGGCTGCAAGGGGACAACTTGCTTCACCATGGTCTTCACCATGGATTACAGGGGGGTCACATCTCTGAGTCCTTTCCCTGTTCTCGTGGGGGTCCCTCTCACAGGAGACAGTCCTTGATAGACCTCTCTGATGTGAGTCCATCCCTCGGGCAACAGTTCTTTCTAAACTGCTGTCCCTTGGGTCACTCTTCCATAGGGTACAGTCCTTTACAGATAAGCTGCACAGATGTGAGTCCCTTACCAGGGTCACAAGTCCTACCCGGGACTACTTGCTCCAGCATGGCTGTTTCTTTCTTCATGGGCCACAGGTCTCCAGCAGGACTCTGCTCCATCTTAGGTCTCCCACAGGGTCACAGCCTCCTTTATGCACCCACCAGTTCCAGCATAGGCTCCTCCATGAGCTGCAGGGGGGTCTCCGCACTCCAATAGTCTTCCACAGGCAGCAGGGGTCTTGGCTCTCAGTCTTTCCTCTGCTGGAGGGGGAGAGGGAGGCCCCCTGGGCCCCTCCTCCCCCCTCCTGGAGCTCTGACCTCAGAGTCTGCTTGTTATCCCATGTTCTCCTCCGCTCTTCTCCGGGCTGGAATTTCTTCTGCGCAACAAACTTTCTCTTCCTGTGTTCTTAAATATGTTATCACAGAAGCGTTATATCATTACTTCTAATTGGCTCAGCCTTAGCCAGCAACAGGAAAGTCTTTCCTGGATCTGGCTATCATTGGCTCTTTTCATAGGACAGTGAAACTTCTAGCAGCTTCTAACTGAAATCATCCCTATGGCCTCTCTACTACTAAAAATCCAGCCACTTGAACCCACAACAGAGAGATGTGTAGATCATATGTGGTAGTTCCTCTTCATTTATGTTGCAAATTGATCAGTTAAACAGGTCTTCATGTTGGCAGTTCTGAACCTCAGATTATTACTCTGCAAATTCCCCCATATCTGATATTTTTAAACCAATTCTGGTGACTTTCAGCTTTTTGGTACTTGTTCATAGTTGCACACTATTGAGATAAGCATATGAGATCTTTGTACAGTCCAGCGTTTTGTCTTATCCAACTAAGATCTATAAGATTCTGAACTGGTTTTGAATTAAATATCTACTAGATTTTTTTCCTTGGTTTGCTTATATGTTTGCTGGAAATAATGGGAAATGCAGGCTTTTCAAGGAATAGAAGCAATCACAGATTAAAGAAACACATGTGCTGTGTCATTCAGGGGAGAAAAAGTGCTTGCAATTGACCTGGAGTGAAAGAATTGTCTTGGGTTTTTTGTGTGTATGGGTTTTGTTGTTGTTGTTTTTTTAACATTTAAGTTATTTATTTTCTTCCTGAGATACTTTTAAAATATAACCTTTTAAAAGGATGAAAATGATGATGGTCTGAAACCTGGTATTTATCCTCTTCCTTGTAAAGGAGGGAGGAAGGATTGCTTTGTGGATACCAAAGGCAGCCTTGAGGATCATCTTGGATCACTAATGTTACAGTTGGTTGCTGTACAGCTCTGAGACAGGAGTTTGATGGTTCATTGTCTCAGACTTGTAGCGAGTTCCAAAATTACTTTGAAGACACTTAACTTCATGCCATTTATTGTCTTTGTGAATAAGAGCAGAAATTTGAGTAAGTGTTGTGGTTTAACCCTAGCCAGTAGCCAAGCCCCACACAGCTGTTTGCTCACTCCCCTATCAGTGGGATCAGGGAGAGAATCAGAAGGGTACAAGTTAGACAACTCATGGGTTGAGATAAAGACGGTTTAATAGGGAAAGCAAAAACTGTGCACACAAGCAAAGCAAAGCAAGGAATTCATTTGCTAGTTCCCAGAGGCAGGCAGGTGTTCAGTCATTTCCAGGAAAGCAGGGTTCCATCACACATAACAATTATTTGGGAATACAAATGCCATAACTCCACGTCCCCCTCCTTTCCTCCTTCTTCCCCTGTCTTTATACACTGAGCATGATGCCATATGGTATAGAATATCCCTTTGGTCAGTTGGGGTCAGATGTCAGAGCTGTGTCTCCTACCAACTTCTCGTGCACCCCAGCCTAATCACTGGCAGAGCAGTATAAGAAGCAGAAATGGCCTTGATGCTGTGCAAATGCTGCTCAGCAATAAAAAAAAAAAATCTATGTTATCAACACTGTTTCCAGTATACAGCCCCACACTACATACTGTGAAGAAAGCTAACTATATCCTAGCAAAAACCAGCACATCAGTAAGCTTGTGGATAATTTTTTTCCCCAAAGAACCTAAGATCTGGATACCAATACTCATGAAGCCTAGTAAAAGCTGTATAGTCAAATCCTCTAGCTTGCTCTAAAATAACCTGATTGCTTCTGTATGGCGGAATGATTTACAGACTCCTGGCTTGATGGACAGAAATCACTTTATTGCTAATGATCCAGGGTTTTTATCTCATTCACTTTCAACTGGGAGTGGTTAAGCAAATTAAGGCAGAACACAGCTGCAAGCCACACATCAATCACTCTCATAGGCCGGCCGGCCACACAGACACCACACAGACACCACACACAAAGACCTTGGAGTTTCAAGTTGCCCTACACTCCCCGCTGTGAGCTCAGCTCCATCCCTGGACAGTAAATCAAGGCTTTAGATAAACAATACAAGATCATCTAGACATTTCCCAGGCCTTCATTTTCTTGTTCTCATGCTTGGCTTGCTACACTTCTATCCAATATAAGTGCTGCTTCAGTGATTCTGTGGCCTTACTGACATACTGTAGGTATGTACTCTGAAAGAAGTGACACAGCTGCTCTCCTGTTGCTCTCGTCTCCTTTTAGACTTAGGTAAATGCATTATTAATTGTGAATTACAGTATTCTGACAACTCATGTTTGTCAGAGCACAGCAGAACAGTTGTTTATTGATGACTAGAACAAATTTAATACAGTAAACTTTGGCAGAAGCAGCAGTGTGCTGAGCAACTGCTCACTACTACTGCTACAGATCACAGGTTTGAGAGGTGATTGTATGTAGCTCAGAGGTGAAATCTTGAAGTATGACACATCTCTGAGGACTAACATGAAAGATCACTCACAACTAGATAGATGGGCATTCAGATGATCACATTTTCACTCTAACTATTCACATCTCTATGCTGCATTAAAACTTATTAAAGACCAAGAGGGGAGGTATATTCTCAAGAATACTGTAAGGAAAGATACAAACCAATAAACAAACAAAAAATAGTCTTATTAAGAGAAATAATAAAGATCTTCCTTTGAAACTGTTTTTACTTTGAAAGTAGCAAACCAAGAAATAGGTATGCCAACAGAACTAGTTCTTTCTGTTTAAATTCCAAGACTTCAGAATGTACTTGTTTCATATTACCACAATATGGTCCCAGTGGCTGGAAAAGGACAGCTGAGTTGCAAGAAATTGAATCACAGGAAGGTTGGAAAAGACCTCTCAGCTTGAGTCCAACCTTTGACTGATCACCACCTTGTCAAGCAGACCAGAACACTGAGTGCCACATCCAGTCGTTTCTTGAACATGATTTGATTTGAAGTAGATGTAACAAAATTTTGAAATTGAAATTGTTTGAAATTGAAGTAAATGTAACAAAATTCCTCAGAATGTGAAAATGATAGAAGGAAGTCACAGTCAGTCCTCTGAGTGGGAGCAGAAGGGTCATGCATCTCTTCAAGGTTACACAACAATATGCCTGTCCTTTTTAGAAAGCCTTGGGACAATTATATATCCCTGTGTATTCCACAGTGGTTTTTATATAGAAATTTTTTTCTCACAAGATGGGGTAGTTTTAATCTAGGCCTTCCTTGGTTACCAGTTTGTAACCAAGGAAGGGGCAGTGTTCCCAGTATTCCATATGATTTTTACGTAAATCGTGGTATAAATAAGAAGGGAGGAGAGACCTTCGCTCTTCTTCTCTTCCGGCGAGGTTCGGGAACCTTGCGTTGGTCTCGCAGGCTGAGGCCTGCAGCATCCACTGGCCTGCCACGTGGAGGCTTGGGGAGTGCTGGCCGTGTCTGCCAATCCTGCTTTCTAAGGGACGTGGTGAGATTTGTTTTACTAGTTATTTTACTAGTTCTCGGGTTTGATTGCGCATATCTATTCCGTGTCCCTTTTTGTTTCCTTTTGTCCCTTTTTCCCCTTTCCCTATCCCTTCGGGGGGTGTTTGGGTTCCCGTTTGCTGTGTACATAGCATCTTAACTGTAGTATACATAAAATATATTTTTTATATAACTAGCTTTTTTTTCCAGGTTCTTCAATTTGCATAGTTTTTTTTCCTTTGCCCTGGGGGAAGAAGGAAGGGGGAAGGGGGGGGAGGCTGCTACTGGGCTTTGGGCATTTGGCAAGGAGCCAAGTCCGAACCATCACACAAGACTAGAAATTTTAACTTTGGATTTGGAGTTAGCACTGGAGTTTATGCTTTACCAGTGAATTGGATCTAGGGTTCTTTGGATGAAATAAACTTGTGATTTCTCTGAGACTGCACTGATTCTGTTCTGGGCGGTCCCCT